GACACTTGTATAAATAATCTAACACAATTAGATCAAGTAGGGCGGGGAACATTTTTCAAACTCTAAATCCTTTAATCTCTAAGGAGTCGACTGCATGCGTATCCTTTTTATTATTATAATAATAAATAATATCATCGTTACTAAGGGCTGTTTGGCGCCTCTAAAACTCATTAGCAAACCAGAGTCGGATAGAATTTCACAATTACGATACCTAATCTACTCCAATTGAAGCTTTAAACATGCCACAATGCATTATAGTGCTTGAATACACTGAGATAAGAACCACCTTTATAATGAGGACAACTTTATAATGAGAACATTTTGTAATGTCCCAATTGGTACAAGCCTATACAAAAGTACCTCTGAAATGAGGACACCTCTGTATTAAGGACAGGTAGTGTGGGCCCAATGATGTCCTTCTAATACAATTAATACGTACCAGTTTGAGATTGGTTTGTAGTGAGAGGTGGTTTCTTTACTGAAGACAAGAGAGTTGAAGAGGGAGGGGGTAAGTGAGGAGGAGGCATCAGGAGGACATCAAGAGGAGCACTGGAGGAAGAACTGACACCAACCTCTTCTTTAACAGCAACATCATCAGGAGGAGGAGGAGGAGAGAGTTTAGATGTCTTCAGTGGTACATCATCCTGACCATTAGCCTAAGGAGAGAGAGAGAGAGGAGAGACAGAGCTTAGTTAGAATGATTAATCAGTCTCTCACTCAGTCACTCTATAGTCGACCCACACAATAATAACGAAGCCATTTATAGCATGGGCTCAGTTAATCTAATTTAAGCAAAAAATGCTAATTCATTAAGTCACCATGACAACCAATTAGGAACACTTGGTAGACGAATGACTATTACAATAGACACACAAACACCACCTCCTTCTCCCTCTCCCTCTCTCTTCCTCTTTATTTAATCTGACAGTATCTAAGTGGCATGACTAATGATGTCGTAATACGATCATGATCACAAGCCATAATTAATTACGCCAGTCTCAGTTTAATGTCTTCAGTAAAGGAGAGAGCGATAAGTTACTATACTTGTGGTCAGTCGATGTCCGGAGGTGAGTAACACATGTAAACACAAACAAAATGAATAAAGAGATGAAGAGATAACAGTATGTACTGTATAGAGAGGGATAGAGACAATGAGAGATCAAACAAAGAACGATAGAGATAAGAATAATAATGAATACAGACTAGCCTCTATATAATGGACACTGTGTCTCTGTTATACAGAGGTGTCCTTTATGTGGAGGTTATTTTATACAGTAAGGAATGTAATTGGTACACTAGGTGCTGTCCGTTAAATGGAGGTGTACGCTATAGAGAGTGTCCATTAAGAGAGGCTGTACAGTAACATGTCATTAAAGTAAATATAATTTTAGCAGGTTATACATGTACTGTACATGTACATGTACAGGTATTACTGATAATAATAATAATAATAATAATAATAATAATACATGTAAACTGAAGTATTAGTATCCGATTTCCTACATGCAATTACATGATTAAGTAAAACCTAATGGTCCCATTAACCAACACCTAACACAAGAGGCTTCCTCTGTAATAGTACACTGGTCAGGTAGTCTACCTCAGTCTAGCCTCCTAATTCCTTACATTACAATCAGTACATTAATACAGGAATGGGCCTCTAGATAAGGACAAATTATAATGAGGACACCTTTATAATGAGGACGCCTTTATATTGAGGACATTTTGTAATGTCCCAATTGGTACAAGCCTATACAAAAGTACCTCTGAAATGAGGACACCTCTGTATTAAGGACAGGTAGTGTGGGCCCAATGGTGTCCTTAATAAAGAGGCTACACTGTACATGTATTAAGGACAGGTAGTGTGGGCCCAATGGTGTCCTTAATAAAGAGGCTACACTGTACATGTATTAAGGACAGGTAGTGTGGACTATGGACCCAATGGTGTCCTTAATAAAGAGGCTACACTGTACATGTATTAAGGACAGGTAGTGTGGGCCCAATGGTGTCCTTAATAAAGAGGCTACACTGTACATGTATTAAGGACAGGCAGTGTGGGCCTAATGGTGTCCTTAATAAAGAGGCTACACTGTACATGTATTAAGGACAGGCAGTGTGGGCCCGTGAAGACCTCATGAAATCTGAAACAGTGATTTACATGTACTTAATTAAACTCATAATTGTGTTGACATACAAATAAATAAATAAATAATAACAATAATAATAACAATAACAGTGTCTAGTGTCTAGTACAGCGGAATAGCCACAGGATACTCACGGGTCACAGGTTAATGAAACAAATTAAATAAAAGATTAAAGTGAAACACAATAAAGTCTTAAACTGATCAGACAAAGAGACCAACAATTGATAATAATAAACCACCTCCTATTGTGGACACTCTAAAATAAGGACACCTCTATAATGAGGAGGGGTAGTATCAGTCCCAATACAATAGTAATGTGTATTAATGAACCTCTGAAATAAGGACAGGTTCATAATCAGGAGCTAGGGTATTATTGGGTCCCAAGGTGTCCGGAGTAGACAGGATTGACAATACACATCTATTGTCCTCCCTCTCTCCCTCCCTCTCTCCCTCCCTATCTCTCTCTCTCTCTAATTCAATCAGTAAGTGACTTACTTGTTCTGTGAATTTTCTTTTTGGCAAAATCTTATCAACACTATCATGAGGTCTAGGGAGAAGGAGAGAGAGAGAGGGGGGGAGAGGGGGGGAAGAGAGAGAAGTAGATCAAGTATGTTTTCTTTTAGTGTTCAGTATATGTACATTGTACATGTAAACAGGTGAATCCTGACCCAGGTCCCTCCTACTCTGAGGTATATACACACACACACACAAACACCAGCTGGCCACCTGCTAACCTGATTAGTAAATCCCTCCCTAGCACTCTCCACAGTACAGTACACCCAATAATGCATTAATTAATAACAATAATAATGAATAATTAATGAGTTAGTGACTTTTAACATGTAGAAAGTTGAGTATAAATGGTATCTTTTTTTACATTACTATCTATGCTTTTAGTTACGAGCAGTTTGAATTAAAATCCACAGTACAGCTGGAAATACTGCCATCAATATTAACTAATCCACCATTTTGTTTATTTTTTGGGCTCAATAGGTAAATTCCGCTAAATACAAAAATTTTCTAAGAAATTGCAAAGCAAATAACTCTCTCTAATATACATGTACGGTAATAAACTAATAATTAATTAATTAATAATGTCTTACAATTGATGGTAAGCTAAATGCTCCACCCCCTTCGACAAAACATCCTAAGTAATATAAAAAAGAACCAAAAAATATTTTTTACTTTATCATCACTTATTGAGTCTGGAGCCACATAACTGGGTGTGGGTCCGTGAGTAGGTGGAGCTTGATAAGGATCTATTAAATGAGGAGGAGGGGGAGGAGCATTATTGTTTTTCATTATTGTTTTTGGAAAAAACCATGGACTTATAGCCTTGGGTATTTTTCAGATTTTTGACGTTTTCTTAAAATGGCCGTAACTTTAAAAATTAAAGTTGGGATCAGCTCAAACTTTCTACACAGCATAAGGACATCAATATGTATCAGAAAATGTAATAAAAATGTGGGGTGATTTTGGAGCCATTTTTTGGAAAAAACCATGGACTATAGCCTTGGGTATTTTTCAGATTTTGACATTTTCTTAAAATGGCCGTAACCTGAAAAATTGAAGTCGGAATCGGCTCAAACTTTCTACACAGCATAAGGACATCAATATGTATCAGAAAATGTAATAAAAATGTGGGGTGATTTTGGAGCCATTTTTTGGAAAAAACCATGGACTATAGCCTTGGGTATTTTTCAAATTTTGATGTTTTCTTAAAATGGCCGTAACCTGAAAAATTGAAGTCGGAATCGGCTCAAACTTTCTACACAGCATAAGGACATCAATATGTATCAGAAAATGTAATAAAAATTTGGGGTGATTTTGGAGCCAATTTTTGGAAAAAACCATGGACTATAGCCTTAGGCATTTTTCAGAATTTTGGGGTTTTCTTAAAATGGCCGTAACTTAAAAAATTAAAGTCGGAATCAGCTCAAACTTGCTACATAGCATAAGGACATCACTATGTATCAGAAAATTTAATAAAAATTTGAGATAATTTCGGAGCCATTTTTTGGAAAAAACCATGGACTATAGCCTTGGGTATTTTTCAGATTTTTGACATTTTCTTAAAATGGTTGTATCTTGAAAAATTGAAGTCGGAATCAGCTCAAACTTTTCTACACAGCATAAGGACATCGTTATGTATCAGAAAATGTAATAAAAATTTGAGATAATTTCGGAGCCATTTTTTGGAAAAAACCATGGACTATAGCCTTGGGTATTTTTCAGATTTTTGGCATTTTTAAAATGGCCGTAACTTAAAAAATTAAAGTTGAAATCAGCTCAAACTTTCTACACAGCATAAGGACATTAATATGCATCAAAAAATGTAATAAAAATTTGGGGTGATTTTGGAGCCATTTTTTGGAAAAAACCATGGGCTATAGTACAGGGTACTTTCTGATTTTTGGCGTTTTCTTAAAATGGCCGTAACTTAAAATTGAAGTCGTTGACATTTAAAATTTTTCTCTCAAAATTACTTGCCCCAAAACAGTGATGACGAATTCTTAGAAAAATTACGGTATTAATATACACTCTTTCACTTTACTAGAATTTGTTGAAGCTGGGTAAAACAGGTATAAGCTCTCATTTAATTTGTTCATTTTAATAAATCACAAGAGAAAGCATGCCTACTTACTTGATTAAATTTTTAGCTTATTTATGCCATCATTCCAAACTTTGCAGCTTGTTGTAACGTGTATCTACCAAATAAAGTAGCTGTACAGGATAATCACGATGGCGGCCATTTTTTAAATTAACTTTAATATTTGCGTCATAAACTAACCACGCCTTCGATTAAAATTCCTGCCAATCGGTCAAATTTTTTGTTAAATCATAGATATTATAGACTACGTAACCTATTTCAATTTTAACAAAAAATTTAAATTTTGACTAAATTTTTTACTGACATCAGTCAAATGAGAACATCAGTTTCAATTGCAACTGAATCTACAATGAAAAAAGGGAGATAAATTAGCTTAGTAACTACAAAAAGTAAGTTCATAAAGAATTAGAAGTTATGCTGGCAGCAGGCATGATAAGTTTTAAAATATTTGAAGTTCAATGATCCATAATTGATAAACAGTGGGTGACAAAAATTTGAAAAAGGCACAAGTTGTACAACTTTTTATTTCCTATAAAATGATATCAACAAAAAACTATCAAAATTACAGCCATTTGTACCTTAATGGTGCATGTACGTAGCAATGGTATCGTATCCCTAATTGTTCCTACAGTACATTCTACACGTAATTGCTCTTTATTCTTACTATTCTCTTCAAACGTCAATTAAACTTATTAAACAATTTAATACACATACATGTACACATACGCCAATACATGTACATGTACATGTGTGTGGAGGGGGGGGAGGGAGATGTGATGCCTCCAGCAGTAAACAAGTACATGTTTATTGCTGCCGCTGCTTACATGTAGTACATGTGTATATACCTTGAGGTGGTTTGTGTGGGTGTGATTAGGTCTAGCGTACTAGAACGGCTTTATCTTATTACAGTAGAGGAGGGCACCCTCTTTCACATGCTCCGTGTTGTCATGGTTAACTAATAGGACTGATATGGTTTTGTATCTTTTGAGTTCATTATTTCAGCAGCTGGTCTTTGAACAGGCTATGGGATGAGTGTTTGAATGGTAATTACAGCTATTAAGCTTGATTATAGATAATTATCCTGTTCTTTAAGGCTTTATTGGATTAGGAGTTTGTGGGTCCTTTCATCTGGTTTACAATCATTGCACCTCCTGATAGACTATAGTGTATCCTTATTCATGTACTGGTTCATGATCCTAAGGATGGTAGGTATTATTGCAATAATTGTTTATTACATAATGGTTTCTTTAAACAGCTATGGTGTCTTTAATAAAGAGGCTACACTGTACATGTATTAAGGACAGGTAGTGTGGGCCCAATGGTGTCTTTAATAAAGAGGCTACACTGTACATGTATTAAGGACAGGTAGTGTGGGCCCAATGGTGTCTTTAATAAAGAGGCTACACTGTACATGTATTAAGGACAGGTAGTGTGGGCCCAATGGTGTCTTTAATACATAGCAAGCTAAACTTTTTAAATGATCCCCAAACTTGTACTACATTTCCTGATACATGCATCATATATCCTTATACTATGCGGCAAGTTTGAGCTGATTTTGACTTAAAACTTTCAAGTTTTGGCCATTTTAAAAGAAATGTGCCATTACCCTGTACTATAGCCCATAGTTTTCCGCAAAAATGGCTCCAATCTATGCTCCAAAATCACCCCGGGCCAGGTATGTGCGAATATTATAGGCTATATGTCTGCTCGAGATATGCTTCCTGTCGGTTGTTAATTAAATTTCGCTGTCGGCGGCACACTATAAAACTGGGTGGTTGTCCTCTGTTTTCTGTCACTGGAGGCATTTTCCAATCTATTGGTTAAAAGAATATCACTAGAAATAACTACCTTGGACTCTTCCTGATGGAACTTTCATTTTACTCGCCTGCAAGCATGGAGAGAAGACAGCTAATCCTTATCGAGTTATCATCCTGTTTCTCGTGACTGCCTCTCTCCCTACCTTGACTGTCTCTTACTCCGGGGATAGTGTACCACAGCTACAATCCATTTGCAATTTCACAACAGAGCATGGGCCAAGGGATGGTGAAAAAAACTCAACTAATGGTGCTGGTGGTGATTTCAAGTTGGTCATGATGAATGCAACACATGAGATCCCATGCTACACTCCAAATGAGTTGACTACAGGTAATATTTTATGAGCCAAAGGTCATTAATTATAATTTATTCTCTTTCTTACAGTTCATATGGTAGTTACTACTGCCGAAAAAACCCACAAAATTAAGGGATTTTTATTAGGCGTCCAAAAGGAAGGATTCCGCTACCACAATAAAACCCTTGAAAATGCTGGAGATGTCAATAAAACTAATAATCTCTGTGATAACTATGTTACTTTTAGTCACTCGTAAGTTCTTAACAAGTTCTTCCCCCTCTCTTTTGCATGTGGGGCTATTGTCAGTGTCAACTGTCAAAATCATCTAGTGCATTATCAGTTTATAATTGAAATGTGTCTTTATTCATTTACAGGGCCCTGCTCAGTATTCAGAAAATGGAGTTTAAATTCAACTTCACTTCAAAGGAAAGAGTAGAACTGAGGTAAGAAATATAGACTAGGAATGTCAGCATAAAATCATATCGTGGCACTTTAATGATTTTTGTATCTCTCTTCATTGCAGGTCAACAGTTGTCTTTAGTTATTCAGATGTCATTAATAATAGATCATATTATTTCAATGCCTGTCCAACTCCAACCCCAAGCAGTACACCTTCTCCTTCACCAGCTCCCAGCAGTCCCTCAACATCAGTAGCAGCACCATCAGTGACTCCCACCCCATCATGTCCTAGTTATAATGCAACACAAATTGGTAAGTTATATATACTTAAATCATGAAGAGGCTTTAATGCTTTACTTGTAATATAATATCTTAATATAGCTAGGCTGTATATTAGTAGTGTAGACTGCAGTATGTGAAGCACTATTGCTGCCAGTCTCAGTGTTATATCACATGTTAATTATCACCTGATGACTTGCACTTGGTTCTTAGTATTCAGTAACTTTATGTTTTCTTCCTCTCTCTCTTCTCTTTCTATAGATAATTTCAAATGTCCTAAGACAGTAGAGAAATACAAACTGACAATGGATCATGAAGACAATGGAATAAAATATGAATGCACAACCACAGGGACATTGAGACATTTTGTATTCCAGTCAAACTGCACCAGACAAGAGGTCTGCTCTACAGAAGATGATCAAGTTTGCCGTTGGAGAACCTTCTCCATAAGGAACTGTGAAATGTCGTTAGACCAGAGGAAGAGAGAGTTCTTGTGTACTGCAAAGGACAATCGTAAAAATACTCTAACGACTAAAATAAGAATAGGAATAGAAAAGGACTCTTTATACACTTGTGATGTAACTCTTTTAGATTCTTAGCTTGTCATTATCATGTTATTATTATTATTTCTAATTGTTTGGCAACATTTTATGCATCATTAATCACTATTTCTGTTATTCCACAATGTCTTTTTCATTACTGTTTGTCCAATCAGTTATTATTATTATTAATATTATTATTATTAGCTTCAAAATATGATTGATATGATCTACTCCAGCCACAAAAAATAAGCTCATTAGTCTGAAGTGTAAATGGAGGAGTAAACAAGTTTAAATGATTAACACACTATTATACTGCAAGGGCCTCCAACCTATGACTGACACACAGTTCACTTGCAGTTGGAGCATTATTAAACTGGTGATGGCAGAAATCATTTTACTTCTGCAAAAATTGAGTAGATTTTAAACCAGCCACCCACTACTATAATAGTGGAACCTTTATGAATAAAAGAATGATAATTATTATCAATTAAAATTAATACAAAAGTAATTTTAAAAGGAAAATTCACATTATCATGATGATGCAGATATAATTCATGATAGTCTCCTCATTCTCATGTTGTTTCTATCTCAAGCAGTTTCAGAATCAGAATCTTCAGAATCATAACTGACCAGGGAGAATGCAGAGGTAGCCATGACTGGAGCAGAACCACTGGGAGCTGATTTAACACTGAGCAGAAAAAGAAGAATCTACAGAAGGAGCAGCCTGTACTGGAGGAGCACTAGTGGCAGTTGAAGTATTTTTAAGGACCGAGAGAGGATTGGTTCCAGACTGTGGTGGTATGGGAACAGGAATAGGTGATTGAGGGTGAGCTCTTTTTACTGCATCTATCAATAATAATAATAATAATAATAATAATAATAATAATAATAATAATAATAATAATGATGATGATGATGATGATGATGATAATGATGATGATGATGATGACGATGATGATAATGAATGGCTTAAAAACCAATGATAAGAATTGCAAAAGTCTAATTCATATAATAAGGAAGGCTTCACTAGTGGAGTTCCAATGAAGATACAATTAAAGAGAAAGGAAGGAGAGAGAGAGAGAGACATTGAGGTTAGCATTTACTATGCACTTGAACCACATTTATCAACACTTATACTAATCTTAATTGCAATAAACGGTATATTTACCAACAGGGCTCTAACCACATGCAAACACAAGCTACTGACACATGCACTTGAATGAGCAATGATAGTCCATCGTTTCTTAAGGTGTGGAGAAGTAATGTAGCCTCTATATAATGGACACTGTGTCTCTGTTATACAGAGGTGTCCTTTATGTGGAGGTTATTTTATACAGTAAGGAATGTAATTGGTACACTAGGTGCTGTCCGTTAAATGGAGGTGTACACTATAGAGAGTGTCCATTAAGAGAGGCTATACTACTGAGATATCTGCTTGAGGTAAAGCTGAGGGCAGATATCAAGGGACTCAGGTATTACATTACTGATACTCACTGGACAACGTAACATGTTATATTCTTAGATAACTATAAACAGGTAGAGGTACTTCAGAAAGTGACCTCAACACATTGCCATCTTATTATTATTATTATTATTGTCAGTGTGAGTAACCACAGATGAATAAAATGGCTTTTCTCTCCCTCCTAATCTAATATTCCCTTTGAGTGACACTTGTATAAATAATCTAACACAATTAGATCAAGTAGGGCGGGGAACATTTTTCAAACTCTAAATCCTTTAATCTCTAAGGAGTCGACTGCATGCGTATCCTTTTTATTATTATAATAATAAATAATATCATCGTTACTAAGGGCTGTTTGGCGCCTCTAAAACTCATTAGCAAACCAGAGTCGGATAGAATTTCACAATTACGATACCTAATCTACTCCAATTGAAGCTTTAAACATGCCACAATGCATTATAGTGCTTGAATACACTGAGATAAGAACCACCTTTATAATGAGGACAACTTTATAATGAGAACATTTTGTAATGTCCCAATTGGTACAAGCTTGAACAAAAGTACCTCTGAAATGAGGACACCTCTGTATTAAGGACAGGTAGTGTGGGCCCAATGGTGTCCTTCTAATACAATTAATACGTACCAGTTTGAGATTGGTTTGTAGTGAGAGGTTGTTTCTTCACTGAAGACAAGAGAGTTGAAGAGGGAGGGGGTAAGTGAGGAGGAGGCATCAGGAGGACATCAAGAGGAGCACTGGAGGAAGAACTGACACCAACATCTTCTTTAACAGCAACATCATCAGGAGGAGGAGGAGGAGAGAGTTTAGATGTCTTTAATGGTACATCATCCCGACCATTAGCCTAAGGAGAGGGAAAGGGGAGACAGAGCTTAGTTAGAATGATTAATCAGTCTCACTCTCTCTCAGTCACCCTACAGTCGACCCACACAATAATAACGAAGCCATTTATAGCATGGGCTCAGTTAATCTAATTTAAGCAAAAAATGCTAATTCATTAAGTCACCATGACAACCAATTAGGAACACTTGGTAGACGAATGACTATTACAATAGACACACAAACACCATCACCTTCTCCTCTCCCTCCCTCTCTCTTCCTCTCCTCTTTAATCTGACAGTATCTAAGTGGCATGACTAATGATGTCGTAATACGATCATGATCACAAGCCATAATTAATTACGCCAGTCTCAGTTTAATGTCTTCAGTAAAGAAGAGAGCGATAAGTTACTATACTTGTGGTCAGTCGATGTCCGGAGGTGAGTAACACATGTAAACACAAACAAAATGAATAAAGAGATGGAGAGATAACAGTATGTACTGTATAGAGAGGGATAGAGACAATGAGAGATCAAACAAAGAACGATAGTGATAAGAATAATAATGAATACAGACTAGCCTCTATATAATGGACACTGTGTCTCTGTTATACAGAGGTGTCCTTTATGTGGAGGTTATTTTATACAGTAAGGAATGTAATTGGTACACTAGGTACTGTCCGTTAAATGGAGGTGTACGCTATAGAGAGTGTCCATTAAGAGAGGCTGTACAGTAACATAAGGTCATTAAAGTAAATATAATTTCAGTACATGTAAATGTACAGGTATTAGTGATAACAATAATAATAATAATAATAATAATAATAATAATAATAATAATAATAATAATAATAATAATAATAATAATAATAATAATAATACATGTAAACTGAAGTATTAGTATCCGATTTCCTACATGCAATTACATGATTAAGTAAAACCTAATGGTCCCATTAACCAACACCTAACACAAGAGGCTTCCTCTGTAATAGTACACTGGTCAGGTAGTCTACCTCAGTCTAGCCTCCTAATTCCTTACATTACAATCAGTACATTAATACAGGAATGGGCCTCTAGATAAGGACAAATTATAATGAGGACACCTTTATAATGAGGACGCCTTTATATTGAGGACATTTTGTAATGTCCCAATTGGTACAAGCCTATACAAAAGTACCTCTGAAATGAGGACACCTCTGTATTAAGGACAGGTAGTGTGGGCCCAATGGTGTCCTTAATAAAGAGGCTACACTGTACATGTATTAAGGACAGGTAGTGTGGGCCCAATGGTGTCCTTAATAAAGAGGCTACACTGTACATGTATTAAGGACAGGTAGTGTGGACTATGGACCCAATGGTGTCCTTAATAAAGAGGCTACACTGTACATGTATTAAGGACAGGTAGTGTGGGCCCAATGGTGTCCTTAATAAAGAGGCTACACTGTACATGTATTAAGGACAGGTAGTGTGGACTATGGACCCAATGGTGTCCTTAATAAAGAGGCTACACTGTACATGTATTAAGGACAGGTAGTGTGGGCCCAATGGTGTCCTTAATAAAGAGGCTACACTGTACATGTATTAAGGACAGGTAGTGTGGGCCCAATGGTGTCTTTAATAAAGAGGCTACACTGTACATGTATTAAGGACAGGTAGTGTGGGCCCAATGGTGTCCTTAATAAAGAGGCTACACTGTACATGTATTAAGGACAGGTAGTGTGGGCCCAATGGTGTCCTTAATAAAGAGGCTACACTGTACATGTATTAAGGACAGGTAGTGTGGGCCCAATGGTGTCCTTAATAAAGAGGCTACACTGTACATGTGTTAAGGACAGGTAGTGTGGGCCCAATGGTGTCCTTAATAAAGAGGCTACACTGTACATGTATTAAGGACAGGTAGTGTGGGCCCAATGGTGTCCTTAATAAAGAGGCTACACTGTACATGTATTAAGGACAGGTAGTGTGGGCCCAATGGTGTCCTTAATAAAGAGGCTACACTGTACATGTATTAAGGACAGGTAGTGTGGGCCCAATGGTGTCCTTAATAAAGAGGATACACTGTACATGTATTAAGGACAGGTAGTGTGGGCCCGTGAAGACCTCATGAAATCTGAAACAGTGATTTACATGTACTTAATTAAACTCATAATTGTGTTGACATACAAATAAATAAATAAATAATAACAATAATAATAACAATAACAGTGTCTAGTGTCTAGTACAGCCGAATAGCCACAGGATACTCACGGGTCACAGGTTAATGAAACAAATTAAATAAAAGATTAAAGTGAAACACAATAAAGTCTTAAACTGATCAGACAAAGAGACCAACAATTGATAATAATAAACCTCCTCCTATTGTGGACACTCTAAAATAAGAACACCTCTATAACGAGGAGGGGTAGTATCAGTCCCAATACAATAGTAATGTGTATTAATGAACCTCTGAAATAAGGACAGGTTCATAATCAGGAGCTAGGCTATTATTGGGTCCCAAGGTATCCGGAATAGACAGGCCTGACAATAAGCATCTACTGTCCTCCCTCTCTCCCTCCCTCCCTCTCTCCCTCCCTATCTCTCTCCCTCCCTATCTCCCTCCCTCTCTCATTCAATCAGTAAGTGACTTACTTGTTCTGTGAATTTTTCCTTTTTGGCAAAATTTTATCAACACTATCATGAGGTCTAGGGAGAAGGAGAGAGAGAGGGGGGGGAGAGGGGGGGAAGAGAGAGAAGTAGATCAAGTATGTTTTCTTTTAGTGTTCAGTATATGTACATTGTACATGTAAACAGGTGAATCCTGACCCAGGTCCCTCCTACTCTGAGGTATATACACACACACACAAACACCAGCTGGCCACCTGCTAACCTGATTAGTAAATCCCTCCCTAGCACTCTCCACAGCTAGTACACCCAATAATGCATTAATTAATAACAATAATAATGAATAATTAATGAGTTAGTGACTTTTAACATGTAGAAAGTTGAGTATAAATGGTATCTTTATCTGCTTTTAGTTACGAGCAGTTTGAATTAAAATCCACAGTACAGCTGGAAATACTGCCATCAATATTAACTAATCCACCATTTTGTTTATTTTTTGGGCTCAATAGGTAAATTCCGCTAAATACAAAAATTTTCTAAGAAATTGCAAAGCAAATAACTCTCTCTAATATACATGTACGGTAATAAACTAATAATTAATTAATTAATAATGTCTTACAATTGATGGTAAGCTAAATGCTCCACCCCCTTCGACAAAACATCCTAAGAAATATAAAAAAGAACCAAAAAAAAATTTTTTACTTTATCATCACTCATTGAGGCTAGAGCCACATAACTGGGCGTGGCTCCGTGAGTAGGTGGAGCTTGATGAGGATCTATTAAATGAGGAGGAGGGGGAGGAGCATTATTGTTTTTCATTATTGTTTTTCATTATTGTTTTTGGAAAAACCATGGACTATAGCCTTGGGTATTTTTCAGAATTTTGGCGTTTTCTTAAAATGGCCGTAACTTTAAAAATTAAAGTCGGAATCAGCTCAAACTTTCTACACAGCATAAGTACATCACTATGTATCAGAAAATGTAATAAAAATTTGGGGTGATTTCGGAGCCATTTTTTGGAAAAAACTATGAACTATAGCCTTGGGTATTTTTCAGATTTTTTGCGTTTTCTTAAAATGGCTGTAACTTAAAAAATTAAAGTCGGAATCAGCTCAAACTTGCTACACAGCATAAGGACATCACTATGTATCAGAAAATGTAATAAAAATTGGGGGTGATTTCGGAGCCATTTTTTGGAAAAAAACCATGGACTATAGCCTTGGGTATTTTTCAGATTTTGATGTTTCCTTAAAATGGCCGTAACCTGAAAAATTGAAGTCGGAATCGGCTCAAACTTTCTACACAGCATAAGGACATCAATATGTATCAGAAAATGTAACAAAAATTGGGGGTGATTTTGGAGCCATTTTTTGGAAAAAACCATGGGCTATAGCCTTGGGTATTTTTCAGATTTTTTGTGTTTTCTTAAAATGGCCGTAACTTTAAAAATTGAAGTCGGAATCAGCTCAAACTTTCTACACAGCATAAGTACATCAATATGTATCAGAAAATGTAATAAAAATTGGGGGTGATTTTGGAGCCATTTTTTGGAAAAAACCATGGACTATAGCCTTGGGTATTTTTCAGATTTTGACGCTTTCTTAAAATGGCCGTAACCTGAAAAATTGAAGTCGTTGACATTTAAAATTTTGTTCTCAAAATTACCTGCCCCAAAACAGTGATGACAAATTCTTAAAAAAATTACGGTATTAATATACACTCTTTCACTTTACTAGAATTTGTTGAAGCTGGGTAAAACAGGTATGTATATATAAGCTCTCATTTAATTTGTTCGTTTTAATAAATCACAAGAGAAATGCATGCCTGCTTACTTGATTAAATTTTTAGCTTATTTATGCCATCATTCCAAACTTTGCAGCTTGTTGTAACGTGCATCTACCAAATAAAGTAGCTGTACAGGATAATCACGATGGCGGCCATTTTTTAAATTAACTTTAATATTTACGTCATAAACTAACCACGCCTTCGATTAAAATTCCTGCCAATCGGTCAAATTTTTTGTTAAATCATAGATATTATAGACTACGTAACCTATTTCAATTTTAACAAAAAATTTAAATTTTGACTAAATTTTTTACTGACATCAGTCAAATGAGAACATCAGTTTCAATTGCAACTGAATCTACAATGAAAAAAGGGAGATAAATTAGCTTAGTAACTACAAAAAGTAAGTTCATAAAGAATTAGAAGTTATGCTGGCAGCAGGCATGATAAGTTTTAAAATATTTGAAGTTCAATGATCCATAATTGATAAACAGTGGGTGACAAAAATTTGAAAAAGGCACAAGTTGTACAACTTTTTATTTCCTATAAAATGATATCAACAAAAAACTATCAAAATTACAGCCATTTGTACCTTAATGGTGCATGTACGTAGCAATGGTATCGTATCCCTAATTGTTCCTACAGTACATTCTACACGTAATTGCTCTTTTCTCTTACTATTCTCTTCAAACGTCAATTGCTTATTAAACAATTTAATACATGTACATGTACGTACTTGTGTGTGGGGGGGAGAGGGAGATGTGATGCCTCCAGCAGTAAACATGTACTGTACATGTTTATTGCTGCCGCTGCTGACATGTAGTACATGTGTATATACCTTGAGGTGGTTTGTGTGGGTGTGATTAGGACTAGCGTACTAGAACGGCTTTATCTTATTACAGTGGAGGAGGGCACCCTCTTTCACATGCTCCGTGTTGTCATGGTTAACTAATAGGACTGATATGGTTTTGCATCTTTTGAGTTCATTATTTCAGCAGCTGGTCTTTGAACAGGCTATGGGATGAGCGTTTGAATGGTAATTACAGTTATAAGCTTGATTATAGATAATTATCCTGTTCTTTAAGGCTTTATTGGATTAGGAGTTTGTGGGTCCTTTCATCTGGTTTACAATCATTGTACCTTCTGATAGACTATAGTGTATCCTTAATCATGTACTGGTTCATGATCCTAAGGATGGTAGGTATTATTGTAATAATTGTTTATTACATAATGGTTTCTTTAAACAGCTATGGTGTCTTTAATAAAGAAGCTACACTGTACATGTATTAAGGACAGGTAGTATGGGCCCAATGGTGTCCTTAATAAAGAGGCTACACTGTACATGTATTAAGGACAGGTAGTATGGGCCCAATGGTGTCCTTAATAAAGAGGCTACACTGTACATGTATTAAGGACAGGTAGTATGGGACCAATGGTGTCCTTAATAAAGAGGCTACACTGTACATGTATTAAGGAGAGGTAGTGTGGGCCCAATGGTGTCCTTAATAAAGAGGCTACACTGTACATGTATTAAGGACAGGTAGTGTGGGCCCAATGGTGTCTTTAATACATAGCAAGCTAAACTTTTTAAATGATCCCCAAACTTGTACTACATTTCCTGATACATGCATCATATATCCTTATACTATGCAAGTTTTTTGACTTAAAATTTTCAAGTTATGGCCATTTTAAAAGAAATGTGCCATTACCCTGTACTATAGTCCATAGTTTTCCTCAAAAATGGCTCCAATCTATGCTCCAAAATCACCCTGGGCCAGGTATGTGCGAATATTATAGGCTATGTCTGCTCTAGATATGCTTCCCGTCGGTTGTTAATTAAATTTTCGCTGCCGGCGGCACACTATAAAACTGGGTGGTTGTCCTCTGTTTTCTGTCACTGGAGGCATTTTCCAATCTATTGGTTAAAAGAATATCACTAGAAATAACTACCTTGGACTCTTCCAGATGGAACTTTCATTTTACTCGCCTGCAAGCATGGAGAGAAGACAGCTAATCCTTATCATCCTGTTTCTCGTGACTGCCTCTCTCCCTACCTTGACCATAGATTGTATTACTAAGTAACAGGGATTGGAAACTGATGACGTCACACGGACAGACTCTGTAATGGTGGAAAAGCAATGGAAGGCCGACTACACAAGCTCTTCTCCAAGTCTTGTACTGTATTAATTTGCATTTTATTTACTATCGATGATGAACAGATAGGTCTTGGGAGTTCATGACTGTTCTTTGTGACGGTTAAGCATAGTTTTGTTGACAGAATCTTCGCCGCCTCTCGTGGCCCATGTTATCATTGAAATTGCCTTTGTGATGGCACAAATTAATGAATACAGCTATTATTTTTCCAAAGTGCCGTCTATGGCTTATATAATAGGCTAAAGGCATGTGAAAAATCCTAATCTTTGTTACAGTTTTTGTCCTTTATCCTAATTTTACTTACTTTTTGTGATATAGGTTGAACAGATACGCCTCTAAAAACCGACATTTTGGGATCTTATGATCTGTATGAAGCACTAGTGATAATAAAAGTGTCTTAGTGGCACGTAGCTTTACTTGATACATGTTTTTTATATTGACACTCTCTCAGTTTTAGTTACCCTTAGCAAGTTATAGGTTGAATAGATTTCACACCTATCACGCATGGTAAAAAAGCATGCTTTTTCTCATTTTTCTTCAAAATAAAGTGCTGTATCACAGTTTTAACAGTTTCTAATAAGTAAGTAAACCTTCAGCAACAATATAAGCTATATAACTACCCTGGATCTGGCTTCAAGCTACACTTAATCCAGCAGTCCTCTCAGTCATATTGCTCTAGTCTCAACGAGCCGGGGAAGGGGCAGAGTCTTACAAGGTTCGTCCGCACCTGCTTTCATTAATTTGAATGAGATCACGTGATCTGTTTCCAATCCCTGTTACTTAGTAATACAATCTATGCCTTGACTGTCTCTTACTCCGGGGATAGTGTACCACAGCTACAATCCATTTGCAATTTCACAACAGAGCATGGGCCAAGGGATGGTGAAAAAAACTCAACTAATGGTGCTGGTGGTGATTTCAAGTTGGTCATGATGAATGCAACACATGAGATCCCATGCTACACTCCAAATGAGTTGACTACAGGTAATATTTTATGAGCCAAAGGTCATTAATTATAATTTATTCTCTTTCTTACAGTTCATATGGTAGTTACTACTGCCGAAAAAACCCACAAAATTAAGGGATTTTTATTAGGCGTCCAAAAGGAAGGATTCCGCTACCACAATAAAACCCTTGAAAATGCTGGAGATGTCAATAAAACTAATAATCTCTGTGATGACTATGTTACTTTTAGTCACTCGTAAGTTCTTAATAAGTTCTTCCCCCTCTCTTTTGCAAGTGGAGCTAGTGTCAGTGTCAACTGTCAAAATCATCTAGTGCATTATCAGTTTATAATTGAAATGTGTTTTTATTCATTTACAGGGCCCTGCTCAGCACCAAGAAAATAGAGTTTAAATTCAACTTCACTTCAAAGGAAAGAGTAGAACTGAGGTAAGAAATATAGACTAGGAATGTCAGCATAAAATCATATCGTGGCACTTTAATGATTTTTGTATCTCTCTTCATTGCAGGTCAACAGTTGTCTTTAGTTATTCAGATGTCATTAATAATAGATCATATTATTTCGATGCCTGTCCAACTCCAACCCCAAGCAGTACACCTTCTCCTTCACCAGCTCCCAGCAGTCCCTCGCCATCAGTAGCAGCACCATCAGTGACTCCCACCCCATCATGTCCTAGTTATACTGCAACACAAATTGGTAAGTTATATATACTTAAATCATGAAGAGGCTTTAATGCTTTACTTGTAATATAATATCTTAATATAGCTAGGCTGTATATTAGTAGTGTAGGCTGCAGTATGTGAAGCACTATTGCTGCCAGTCTCAGTGTTATATCACATGCACTTGATTCCTAGTATTGAGTAACTTTGTTTTCTTCCTCTCTCTCTCTCTCTCTTTATAGCTAATTTCAAATGTCCTTACCAAAGGCAAGCAAAAATACACAAACTGACAAAAGATGTAGATTGTCATGGAATAAAATACACGTGTGTAGCCAAAATAAAATCGAAATATTATATATTTCCAACAAGCTGTTGGTTAACAGATACCTTCTCTACAGAAGATTATCCAGTTTGTCATGTGAGACTCATTTCCATGAGGAACTGCCGAATTTCATTATACCAGAGGAAGAGAAAGTTCAATTGTACTGCAAAGAACAATCCTCAACATACTATAAAACTTATAATGAGAGTTGGAATAGAAAAATTCTCTTCATACACTTGTGATGTAACTGTACATTAATTCTTAGCTTGTCATTATCACAATATTATTTGTAATTGTTTAGCAACATTTTACAAGCATCATTATTATTTCTGTTATTTCACAGTGTCTTTTTCATTATTGTTTGTCCAATTAGTTATTATTAGTATTATTAGCTTCAAAATACCACAAAAAATAAGCTCACACAGTTCACTTGCAGTTGGAGCATTATTAAACTGGTGATGGCACAAATCATTTTACTTCCTACAAAAATTGAGCAGATTTTAAACCAGCCACCCACTACCATACAGTGGAACCTTTATGAATAAAAGAATGATAATTACTATTAATTAAAATTAATACAAAAGTAATTTTAAAAGGAAAATTCACATTATCATGATCATGCAGATATAATTCATGATAGTCTCCTCATTCTCATGTTGTTTCTATCTCAAGCAGTTTCAGAATCAGAATCTTCAGAATCATAACTGACCAGGGAGAATGCAGAGGTAGCAATGACTGGAGCAGAACCACTGGGAGCTGATTTAACAGCAGAAGAAGAAGAATCTACAGAAGGAGCAGCCTGTACTGGAGGAGCACTAGTGGCAGTTAAAGTATTTTTAAGGACCGAGAGAGGATTGGTTCCAGACTGTGGTGGTATGGGAACAGGAATAAGAGATTGAGGATGAGCTCCTTTTACTGCATCTATCAATAATAATAATAATAATAATAATAATAATAATGATAATAAGCCTCTATATAATGGACACTTTGAAAGTGTCTCTGTTAACAATACAGAGGTGTCCTTTATGTGGAGGTTATTTTATACAGTAAGGAATGTAATTGGTACACTAGGTGCTGTCCATTAAATGGAGGTGTACGCTATAGAGAGTGTCCATTAAGAGAGGCTATACTGTACATGTATTAAGGACAGGTAGTGTGGGCCCAATGGTGTCTTTAATAAAGAGGCTACACTGTACATGTATTAAGGACAGGTAGTGTGGGCCCAATGGTGTCTTTAATAAAGAGGCTACACTGTACATGTATTAAGGACAGGTAGTGTGGGCCCAATGGTGTCTTTAATAAAGAGGCTACACTGTACATGTATTAAGGACAGGTAGTGTGGGCCCAATGGTGTCTTTAATAAAGAGGCTACACTGTACATGTATTAAGGACAGGTAGTGTGGGTCCAATGGTGTCTTTAATAAAGAGGCTACACTGTACATGTATTAAGGACAGGTAGTGTGGGCCCAATGGTGTCCTTAATAAAGAGGCTACACTGTACATGTATTAAGGACAGGTAGTGTGGGTCCAATGGTGTCTTTAATAAAGAGGCTACACTGTACATGTATTAAGGACAGGTAGTGTGGGTCCAATGGTGTCTTTAATAAAGAGGCTACACTGTACATGTATTAAGGACAGGTAGTGTGGGCCCAATGGTGCCCTTCTAATACAATCAATACATACCAGTTTGAGATTGGCTTGTAGTGAGAGGTTGTTTCTTCACTGAAGACAAGAGAGTTGAAGAGGGAGGGGGTAAGTGAGGAGGAGGCATCAGGAGGACATCAAGAGGAGCACTGGAGGAAGAACTGACACCAACCTCTTCTTTAACAGCAACATCATCAGGAAGAGGAGGAGGAGGAGAGAGTTTAGATGCCTTCAATGGTACATCATCCCGACCATTAGCCTAAGGAGAGGGAGAGAGAGGAGAGACAGAGCTTAGTTAGAATGATTAATCAGTCTCACTCTCTCTCAGTCACCCTACAGTCGACCCACACAATAATAACGAAGCCATTTATAGCATGGGCTCACTTAATCCAATTTAAGCAAAAAATGCTAATTCATTAAGTCACCATGGCAACCAATTAGGAACACTTGGTAGACGAATGACTATTACAATAGACACACAAACACCACCTCCTTCTCCTCTCCCTCTCCCTCCCTCTCCTCTTTAATCTGACAGTATCTAAGTGGCATGACTAATGATGTCGTAATACGACCTCCTTCTCTCCCTCCCTATCTCTGTCATTCAATCAGTAAGTGACTTACTTGTTCTGTGAATTTCCTTTTTGGCAAAATTTTATCAACACTATCATGAGGTCTAGGGAGAAGGAGAGAGAGAGAGAAGTAGGTCAAGTATATTTTCTTTCATTACGAGGAGTTGGAATTAAAATCTAAATGTATAGCTGGAAATATTGCCAATCAATATTAGCTAATCCGCCATTTTATTTATTTTCTAAGAAATTACAAAGTACCATATGGCTAGAAAATTTCGAGGGCATAAATTTTCGTGTTTTAGTTGAAAAGCTCTTAATTCTTTAATTTCGAGGGAGTTAAATTTCGCATTTTTGCACGTGCACTTTCATTAAGTCATTGATTTTCACATACTGTGCATGCGCAGTGAACATTTCCATGGTATTAATTTTCGTGGTTAAGAAGTTACCCACAAAATCCGCGAAATTAAATACCCCACGGAATTTTCTAGCCATACGGTATAACTCTCTTACTAATATACATGTGTGGTATTAAATAATGTCTCACAATTGATGGTAAGCTAAATGCTCCACCCCCTTCGACAAAACATCCTAAAAAATATAAAAAAGAACCAAAAAATATCTTTTACTTTATCATCATTTATTGAGGTTGGAGCTGGAGCTACATAAGTGGGTGGGGCCCCGTGAGTAGGCGGAGCTTGATAAGGATCTACTAAATGAGGAGGAGGGGGAGGGGCATGAGACGAGGGTAGGGTACCGCCCATTAATGGCTGACAAGGACCGCCCCCGTAATAATGAGGTGGGAGTGGCTCGTGAATATAATTATCAGGAACAACCTGCGGAAAATGATTGGGGGTGTGTGCTATAGCCTTATATGGTAAAAGAGGAGGAGATTTGATTGAAGTTGGTTTCCGTCAGATTATGGAATTATCACCTGAGGGGGTGAGACAAAGGAAGTGGGTGGAGCCAACTGCGGCATTAATAATGGGCGGGGCTGAGGGCCTGGAATTGATGGATTGTAATGCTCCTAAAATAAATAAATAATTATTAATTAATTAAATATATTTTTAATTAACCATAAAATGTCCGTGATGATGTGGAGGAGGAACCGGATGATAATTAGGATGTGTGGGCGGTGGGTGAGGGGGCGGGGCATAACCTAATAAATAAATAATTGATTAATTATTTAATTGATTAATAATAAATACCATGAGGTGGGTAGAGGTGAGCTTGTGGGTGTGGTTGATTGTATGGATTTCGAATTTTCGACATCATAAAACCATCATAATCCGACTTGACCTATACATGTACATGTACATGTGATTAAGAATTACATGTACGTTTAATTAGAAATTGTACGCACATGTTCAATAAGGTTTTCACAAAGTTTTCTAGCGGACATCACTCCATCAGAACTAGGATGACTAAAATAAATAATATTAATATTAATTAATTGTTGTTATTGTTATTATTATTCGTTACCTAATAAATAAATAAAGAGCTTCAAAGGATTCTTTCCCTGACGTTGGTTCAATATACTTGGATCCTTTCCCTCTCAAAAACACTTTAGCTCCGGTAGTGCTAGCTATGTGACTTAAATAGGATCCCTAAAGGAGGGTATCCAGTACATGAAACTTGATGATTTTGGAGCCATTTTTTGGAAAAAACCATGGGCTATATAGCCTTGGGTATTTTTCAGATTTTTGGCATTTTCTTAAAATGGCCATAACTTGAAAAATTGAAGTCAGAATCAGCTCAAACTTTCTACACAGCATAAGGACATTAATATGTATCAGAAAATGTTGTTGGTGGTACTATCTTACATCTGGTCCCTGGAGTCTGTCCAATAGTCCAAACGAGTTATCAACATCATCTAAACCAATGAACACTTTATCCTGAATGTAGTGATGCTATAGAGAATGATAATTATTAACCCTTTAATCACACAATTAATCCATCAAAAAGACGGACATTTTCTATATCTTACCACACTAGTAGGGGGAATGCTACTGGTCGGTTTAATTGGTAGGTGTGGTTTAGTAGCTAATAAATTATTGGGGCTGCCACATTCACTCTGGTACATGATATTCCTAATCTTCTGTACTGCAGCTAATTAATAAAATCAATCAATCAATTATTATTATTATTATTATTATTATTATTATTATTATTATTATTATTATTATTATTATTGTTATTATTATTATTATTATTATTATTATTATTGTTATTATTATTATTATTATTATTATTATTATTGTTATTATTATTATTACCATTAATAAATGACTGATTAGGTGCTTGTACAGATAGATAAAGTGGACGATCACTAAAAATAAGGACATTTTTATTAATAATAATAATATTTATTATTAGTGAACTTACTCTGTTGTACTGTTGGCTTTCTCAGCTGGTGTCATGTATCGTCCTCTAACAGAAACAGCTGCTCCAGTTCCTCTTGAAATTTCACTCAATGTAGGACCCTTTGTCAAAATACCCCTGGGGAGGAGGGGGCCGGGTCTAATATTTAATTATAATCATTTTGCCCCCACCTTGCTTCCGAGTCATTTATTTCTATTTCCGCTGGTGGAACTTCTTTAGACACACCCACATTACTAGTGCTAACATCTAAAGCCTTTAATAAAGAATAATCTAAACCACACCCACTGTCACGCCCACTAATACCATCTTATTGATTTTCCCCTTGGCCTCCAACATTGCATTAATACGGGCAGCAGCACAGGCGGCAGACACACTAGGATCAACCTTGTCACTAGTGGAGGCGGATGAGTTGGTGTCATCAGGAGGGGCCGCCGGTTGGTCCCATTTTGAACGTCTTTTCTTCTTCACTGGCTCGTCCGCCATTTTGAATAGTTTTACTGTCTTTTTGACCGTATAACAACTCCGTTTTTAAATTAATTCATTAAAATTTTTATTAAACTACAGATCTAGGTATAAAAATTCTTGTGCATGCAAGATCTATTGGCAATTTGGCATGCTATAATTGCTTGCAGGGCCTTGCATTTGGAACAAGACTGCTGAAGGGAAAGATGGATCGTTGGTGTGGCAGAGTAGTATTAGTGACTGGAGCCAGTTCTGGTATCAGTTTAGCGTCAGGTGTAGTTGCATATAGAGTTATCAATATTACCTTCAGACTATTAAATAATAAATAAATAAACAATAACATCATTGATAACTACTTCAGCGTGTCTTATTAATATGATTCTTTTAGGATAAGATTTTAATGAGCGTCTTGATTTAGCCTCGTCCAATCTGTAAAAATAAATAAATAATTAAAATAAATGACATTTAAATAAATATATATTAATAATAATGTCTACGTACTCTTCCAGTAGACAATCAATGTTGATCTTCTCCATTTCTCCACAGGAGGAGGGTGTGTGTCATTCTTTATATCTGCTCTAGTGCTGGGCAGAGGAGGTAAGTCTGGCCTGTCAGTTAGTGGAGAAGATAAAGGACTCAATACTCCTCCACCTAATGTCTTTATGTCTACAGCATCATTCATGATTATTATAAACAGAAGCAGTTTATTAATAATAATAAATTCAAGCAGTGGCGGAGCTGGGCATAGGGTGATGCCAGGGCCCAATGAAAAATTGATACTATAGTACTGAGTTATATTATAATTATACTCATGACATAACACAAGTTCAAGTAACCAATCCCACCCATACATGTACATGTACATGTATTAAACATTGGACAATAGTTCAATGAGTTTGGGCACGTGACCAGTCCCACGTGATGTGCCTAAAAAATAATCTGATATTAATCTATCATTAATTGTCATGTACCATTATCATTAACGTCTCCAGGGGGAGTAGCAGTTTCAGTCGTCCCTGTAAAAATGAAAATCAACTGATATTATCATTAATAATGTATCATTACTATTTTTTTGGCGTAACCAGGTAAAGAACTCAGAAAACCTAGCAAACTGAAAAAACCTGTTCCTACTTACAAAATTGTTACCTAATGAGGAAATTAATATACATGTATACAAGCTTAAATTCTGTTTAATACCAGCATCGTTTCTGTTGAATTTGAAGCAACCAGACAAACACATATAACTAGAAACAGCTGTGACAGATACAGAGCAAGAGTGACATTGGTCTTTAGTTTATTCCTATATTCTCCTAAAAATTATA